CGCGCCGCGCCGCCGGCCGCGGGCGCGCAGCCCTGCGCCCACTCCGAATACAGCCGCAGGCCCCAGAACCAGACCTCAAAGTCGGCGGCGTTCCTGCAGATCAGGTCCAGCGACCGCTCCCTGCCGCCGCCGCCGCGCCCCTCCGTGTATATCACGCTGAGGGAGAGGGGCTCGTACTCCGGCATCGGGTAGCGCTGGAACACCGCCGTCAGCTGGCCCTGCTGCACGCGGACCACCTCAGACAGCCGGATGCTGCGCAGCTTGTTCTGCGCCCGAGTATTAGGGGGGGTGCGATGGCCCGCGGCCGCATGAGCAGGGGCGCCGAAGCAGGCACGGGCGTGCAGGTTCCGAATCGGTTGAGATCGCCCGGCCGCCCGATAATCACTCTGCGATGACGCAACTCAACGCCAGGCAAGCCTCTTGGCGCTGCCGCCCAGCGCCCGGCCGTGGCGCGCCTTGCCCTCTGCCAAAGGCTGCCCGGGCCGCAGCCGCAACCGCCGCTGCTGCATCCATGCCGCCCCCGGCCGAGCTGGCCACTCTGCTGAGCCCCCACAGCTGCGATCAATGGCCACCCGAATCCCCCCCCCCCCAAAGGAAAACCCTCCTGGCAGTGCTCACGCTGCTGCTGTCCCACTGCAGCTCCTGCAGGTCCTGCGACAGCCGGAACAAGTGGTCCTTCGGCTTCCCGCGGCGCCCGTACTTGCGCAGCTTGTTGCCCTGGGGTCCCATGCGCGCGTGTGGGGACACATGTTGTTTGAAGCGCATGCAAACAGGAACAGCGCACAGGGCATGGAGCAACTGGCCGACGCGGACGCCGGGCGTCGGGGAGCAGCGGTGCTGCGTCGAACGTCGACAAGCATGCACGTGTGCAGCAGGAAGGTGCCCGGGTGGCGCGGCAGCCGCTCCGGCAGCAGGGCGTGTGGCTGCCTGCATGCGCCGCGCAGAGCTGCCTGTGTTTGGGGGCGAATGCAGCCCCTCACCCGCAGCATCGCGGTCTTGAGCTCCTCCACCGGCCGCACATGGCTGCCTATGACCACTGCTCCGCTGGGCTCCGACTCCCGCACCAGTGGCAGAGGCAGCATCTGCAGCAGCGGGGCGCGGTCAGCGGGCGGACAGGGTGGGGGTGGCCATCTGGGCACCCGGCTTCTCGCCGGTGAGTGTGCGCCTGGGCGCGGCGCTGAGCTGGGGCTCTTGGCGCCCCGGCAGGACTGCAGTTGCGCAGCTGGCCTCTGTGTTGCGAGCTCTAACACGCATGTGTCCAGGCTTGTGAACTCAAATGCGGCACCAGCGCACCCGCGCAACGCGGTGCTGCATCAGCAAAGCAGCGTGAGCAGCGCAGCGGCATGTGCAGCGGGCGGGATGACTGCGCCATTTTCGGCGTGTTCCGCTGGGTGCAGCAAGCACGCTGAACATGCGACGAACGCATCAATTATATCCGCTCGCTCGACTACACGGCAGGTTGTGCCCAGCAGCACATGCTCAGCATAGCAAACGCTGCAGCCGCTGCCTCACCGTGCCCGATCGCTCTGCAGCTGTATTCTACATCATCATATAACCAGGTCTTTCTTCTTCTCCGGACTGTCGGGCTGGCTGGCTGGGCTTCGAAGATGCCACCTGCGTGATCGCCTAGGACTGGCAAATGACCGAGGCTGCCAAGACTTCACTAATCGATACAGATGGGCGGTTGCAGCATGAGGCACCCGCGTCAAACTCTTTCCAAGCTCAATCGACTTGGCGTCGCAGTCGTTATGATATCACCTGACCGCAACTTGCCGGTGTGTGTAAAAGTCAGCAGATGTCCAACTGTCTACACCTCAATCAAGTGTTGCGGTGTGCTGCCGCACACTGCACCACGGAGGCAGCATGCTCTTGCCGCCGGGATGATTTCGGGTGCCAGCGGTGGACATGTGACGGCGACGGCGCTTGCTGGACGCTGCGGCTTGCTGCATACATTTGTACTCGCGATTGTGCTCAGGATCTTTCACCGCCCGGCAATTAGGTGTGCTTGGTATATGGAAAGGTGGAACTTTGCCACGCCTGGAAATTGAACAAACAGGTATCAACTCGCCATGGCAAAGCTCAATGCAAAGTCTGGGCGCTCGCCCAGTCCCTGTTCAAGCCACCTAATTGCCCAGCAGCCGCAGCAATTTCGGATTCAGCAGCATCTCCGGCCCCACACTGACTGCCTCCGTTGGCCAGCACCCATGGCCAGCCCGGCCGCCTTGATCCCGCGCCAGGCCGGCCCCTTCTCGGGCCTGCCTCCGAAGCCCAAGCCTCCCCCGCGCCCGCCCCGGCTTGGAGGCCGAGCGGCCCCGCCGCCTCGCGCCGCCCTCCGAATCCGGCCGCAACGCCGGCGTGCGCAGGTGCTCCGTCGCTGAAGCCAGTGTCCTGCACAGCACTGAGTGCGACGGCACTCCAACAGTGGCGAGGACACAGCAGCGGGCGCTGCAGTAGCGCGCCACGCCGCAGCCGGCGCACACGAACCATTGCCCGCCGCCGCCGCCGCCGCTGCCGCCGCCGCCGCCGCCGCCGCCCTGGTCTGCGGGCGGGCCGCCGCAGTGGTCGCACCCGCCGCCGCTGGCACCGGCCGTCCAGGCGCAGGGGTGGGGCAGCAGCAGCACGTAGTGGCCCTGGCGCCGCAGCCGCTCAAAATCGAATGGCTGGAAGGCCTGTTGCGTGGCAAAAAGCACGGCGTCATACCTGTAGATGTTTTGGGGGGGAGGCGAATGTGGTCAAAGGGCATCCAGGGATCTTCAGTCACCATGGGTGTTGCATGTGAGGATATGGGGGGCACAATGCAGCGGCAGCGCGGTGCAGAGAGAGGGCAAGCGTACAGTATAAAAGCCGGCGCATGATTACAATCAGTCGCAGACATCCTTCCTATCGGGGGTTGCAAGGCAGGCAGACGGCGCGTCCGCCGTGCAACCTGCCAAGCTGCACGCAAGGTCTCGCATTGTGGAACCCTGCAATGACCGCGGTCGGGAATCGTGTATAAACGTTCCTGATTCTAATCCTGCGGTTTCAACTGAGCTCTCAATTGACACAGCATGCCCACCTCAGGTCAGGGTCGTCGTACAGCCGCCTCGCCGCCGCAGCCAGCTCGCGCCGCCGTCCGTCCTCGTCACAGCACCCCCTCAGCCGCCGCGCGAGCCCCGCCGCAACGCCCGCCCGCCGCGCGTCGGCCGCGGCGGCCTCGGTGCCCCCGCGGCCCCGCCCGGCCATGCCGAGCATCCGCAGGTGGAACCAAGCTGCGCACATTGGCGGCGCACCCTCTCCCTCATCCTCGGGCCCCAGCACGGCGCGCCCGGGCCCCGGGCCGATCGCCCACGCCGCTGGGCCGCCGATCTGCTCCGTAAGCGCGCGAGAGATTGCGCGGCCCGCGAGGGCCGGCCAGAGGGCGGCAGTTTCGGGGGCAGGGTGGCAGGAGAGCTCCATTGGGCCGAGCGCCTCCACCATGCGGCAGGCCAGCACTACGCGGGCTGGCGAGTAGGCCTGCGGGGCAACGTGTTTGGGGTGTCAACATAACCCCAAGGGGGGGGGGGGGTAGGAATTGTGAGGAGGAGACTAACGTTGTGCGTGCGTGCGTGCGTGCGTGCGTGCGTGCGTGCGTGCGTGCATGTGCAGCGCGCGGCAGCTGCGCCTGCATCATTGCATTGCAGGCCCAAGGGGAGCACCCCTCAACATGGTGGGCCTGCCAACAAAATGCGAGCAGGCAGGAGCGGCTCTCACGCATGGTTCATCAAGATCACAGTCATGAGTCATGGTCCCGACACACCCCTTCTCCCCAACCACAAGAGCCCCACCTCATCAAACGCGGCGTCGAGGGCGCGCGCGTACGCGGCTGCCGCTGCCTCCACGTGGGGTGGCCCCTCCTTGGACCCGCTGGCCGCGCCTTGCACAGTCATGAGCGCGGCATCGCGGGGTTCCCTGCTCTGCACGACGGCCTCGTACACGCCGATCGCCACGCACTGCCAGAGGGCGCCGCAGCAGCTGTGGGGGCACATGCCGGCCTCGGAGGCCAGCCGGTCGCGAAGCCGCGGCGCGAGGCGGCCGAGCAGGGCCCACCACAAGCGACGCCACATGAACGGCGACTCGAACGGCACCGGGAAAGATGAGCCCAGCGCGCCGTCGTCCCCGCCGCCGCCTGCGACGCCGCTGTCCCTGCCGTTGCCACCGCTGCGAGTGCCGTTTGGGCCGCCCCTGAAGGAGCCGCCCAAGCCCTGATCATCGGACGTGCCCTGCTGGCGCGCGAGCCACTGCTGCTCCTTCGCCTCGGCGGCGCACCAGGGGCAGCCCGGCGCGCAGCCGACGACGCCGTCGCGCCCACCGGCCGCGGCCCGCGGCGCCGGCGCGGCCAGCGCCTCCCTGAGCCCCAGGCGGGGCCGCGGCGCGGAGCGCGCCGCCTGCGTCGCTGCTGCGTCGGCGCTGGTGGTCGCGCGCTGCGGCGGGCGCTCTTCCGCAGCGAAGGCCAGCTGCTGGACATCTTTGAGCAGTAGCCGAAAGTGACCACTGGCCAGCAGAGGGCTGTGATACATGGCCGCCCCACCAGTGCCGGGTGGGTCGCGGACGCGCGCGGGCGCCTCCCTGTAAAAGGCCGCCGCGTGGTGCGCGGCGCGCCGCAGCAGCAGCTCGTACGCCGCGCCCAGCGAGGGAAATGATAGGTCCCGCAGCAGCCCCCGCAGCAGCGCGGACGGCGTTGGCGCGCCTGCCGACCCCCCACGGCGGCCCCGAGCCCCTTTCCCCTGCTTCTGGTCAACCCCGTGGCCCTCGTCCTCGCTGTCGCCGTCGCTGTCGCTGCCCCAACTGCAGTTCTCAGCATTCCGTCGATTGCGCCACCCAGGAGCACCGCCGCCGCCAAGGTGCGCAGGCGCGCGCGACCGCTCCCCGCTGCCCAGCGCCTGGTCTTGCAGGAAGCTGTGCAGGTCCGCGCACGCGTCCTGAAACTCCTCCTCATCCCTGGCATCCACCGCGGCGTGCCCTCCTACACACTGCTGAAAAGAGCCCGCGCCGCTCGCCCGGCCGGCCGCGCCGCTGACGTCGCCTTGGCCGGCGGCGCTGCCGCCGCCTTCGCGGGCCGCGGAGCGCAGCAGGTGCAGCTGGACGCGCCGGGCGCAGTCCAACTCATAAGAGAATTGCAGGTCGGGCGACAGCCGCGGTGCCAAAGGGTCTTCGACAACGGACGCCGGCTCGGAGCCAAACACGTGCGCCGCGAGCGCCTCAAGGCCGAGCGCTGTGTCGCCTGCGTCCGCAGCGGCGGCGCCGGCGGCGGCGGCGGCGGCCGGAGACGCGGCCGCCGGCGGCGCGGGGTCGGGGGACGCGCCCGTTTGGGTGAGGCAGTGCGCGAAGCTGTGGCGGAGCCGAGCCATTTCCGAGGCCTGCGTGAAAGGGTGTCAGGTATGCGTGTACAGTATGTGTGCATATGAATGAGTGCGTGGTGGGGTGTGTGTGTTTATGACCGGCGGTGGTGGTGCACAGGACCAGTTGCGGCGGTGACAATGGGAAGGGACGGGGCGTGTACGCGCGTGTGGGGCCCTGCCACGCTGGCTCAAGTGCCAACTGGGATGAGAGTCACACAGGCACGCCACAAGCACAGCAGGTGCAATGTGCGCCTACGCACACAAAGCGCTGGGGCAGCCTTCCAGCAGTTGGGACGGCGGAGGGGCGGGGAGCCGCCTGCACTGCCCCACCCTCAGCGGCCGGCGCACCTTGCCCTCCAACAACTCTGCCAGCCGTACAAACGCATCAGCCTCGTCATCATCGCCCGCGGCTGACGACGCCTCGCAGGGCCCCGCCTCGCGCCGCCAGGGCTCGCCCCTGCTGTGACTGTCGTCGCCCCCGCAGCTGCTGCCGGCCGCGCCGTCGTCCCTCACTGGCCAACGCGCGCCGGATCGCGCCTGCAGCCGGCCGGCCAGATCTGGGCGCCGCTCCAAATCAGAGATCATGGCCTTTGACAGCGCGTCTATCTGAACTGCGCAATCCAACAGCGCCGCCAGCTCAGCGGGGGCCTGGGGCCTGCCGCGCCTCGATGCGTAGGACAGCAGTGCCGCTTGGCGCGCGGCCGCTGCCGCCGCCGACAGCTGCTGCACCAGCACCGCTGCCCGCTCCCTGCAGGTTGCCGCCCCTGGCGCGGCTGCAGGAGCATCGGAGGCGGCAATGCAGGGAGGTGCCGGCGGGACAAGCGCGCCCTGCTCCCCACCAGCAGCCTTGAGACCGCGCCGCTCGCCGCCGGCGCCGCCCGCGCAGCCCACCGGCGTCGCTGAGCGTCCCCGCCGCTGGTTGTTGCTGAGCCCGTGTGGCCAGCAGGACTGGAGCGCCGTGGCAGCGACCTCAGACGGGGGCGGCGCCAGCAGAAGCTTGCACGCGTGCAGGAGGCCCGGGCCACCGCCCGCGTGGCCCACGTCGGCGCCTGACACGTGCTCTAGGCCGATGGCCTCCACGCGGAGCGCCTCAGATGCCACCGTCAGGATCGCCTACGGTTGGCCGGTTGCAGGGAGGTGGTTGGGGGTTGAGAGGTGGGTCGGAAGGATGACAGGGGGGCAGGACATGGGGTGGCAGAGCTGGCAGGGGGAGGGGGGTTATCCTGCGGGGCAGAGAGGCGCTGCGAAGGGTGGATGCCAGGCCGGCCCTCGAACAGCTGGGTTGTGTGTTGCAGGTCGTAGGCTCGGCGCACAGTGGCTGACATTCAGACAAGAAAAGCAGGACAGAGCCGGCAGCCCGCACTTTTCTCAGCAAGTTTCTGAAGTCTCAGCTCACATGAAGCACTGCAAAATTCTCAGGGGTTTCTTCTGGTACAGGCTGCCTGCAAATGCAGAGGGGTCGATCCGAGGCAAGGGTGGTGGAAAGGACAGGGCATTTGAAACTTCCAAATGAAGCGGGCAGGTGTTATCCTGTTGAAAGAGTGAGGCAGTGGCGCTTGGGCCATGCCGCTGCCCGTCTCTCAGCGGGTCAGGGTGACACAAGATGCATGCCGGCCTCAAGTGTGCCGCAGGCTATGACTTGCAGCACCTGCAGCTGCATTGATTGAAGCGTTGATGATGAAGGAACGCCTCCAAGGCGCAATGGAGCCCTGCTCTTGCTCACCCAGGGCAGAGTATGCCGACCGCCACGTCAGCCACCAGGCAGGCCGCCAGCTGCGGCGACACGCGCCCCAGCAGCAGGGGCACCTCGCCGCGGGCGGCGTCCGGCCCGCGCAGCGCGCGGCGCGCCGCGAGCAGCTGCTGCACCACTGGCGGCGGCTGGACGCCGCCAGGGGTGCCGCCATCCTCCAGGCGGGTGCCTGACGCCACCCTGTCAAGCAGCGGCTGCAGGGAGAAGCTGACCAGCTGCCGAACCTCGGGCGGCGCCGCGCCGCCGCCGGGGCGCAGGGCGGCGAAGCCGCGGGGCGCGGCGGGCGCTTCCGAGGCGGCGGCGCGGCGCACGTCAAAGTGCCGGGCGGCCGCTACAGCGCAACGCTGGTCCATTTGCAACAAGGCGGCCACATCGGGGTGTGGCGGGGCGTGGGCGCCGGGAGGCATGGCAGCCTGGGTCGGAGTGAGTGGGACGAGTAGGATTGGGAGGCAGTTGAATCTGTTGTGGAGACGGCGCGGCTGAGCGCGCTGTCGGTTCACGCCTTCAGATGCGTGCGCGTCGTAGACCGCCGCAGGTGCCGCACCTGCGCCATGCATCAAGAGCGGTGCTGCCTTGGCGCAGGGGCCAGGGCAATTGGCTACCACAGCTGCACGCGTGTGTCGGTTGGCGCTCTGCCGCCGGCGCTGGACAACCTGAAGTGAGTTGCAGTTGCTGTGACGACGACTCCAGATCCTTGAAACCTTAATCCTTACTATTTGTTCATGTCTTGCAACGCATACTGCGAGCTTCCGAGACCGACAACCCGAGACGGTGTGTTCGCGAATGACGGCACCGTCTCGCAACCCGCCCAAATCGTGGAGGGAGGGACAGATTATCAAGATGACTTCACGTATATGATGTGTGCGCACGCCTCACAGCCAGTAAAGCGTGCGCGGCATGCTGATGGGGTACTGTAGCACAACAGGCACTCAAGGACATGGGGGGCATTGTGGGCGAAGTGGTTATGCGGTTGCGAACAGCGTGCACCACCTTTTCATACAGACACAATGCCAGGTCGGGCCGGTGCCCGGCCCCCGGCCCCACGCCCGGCAGAGTACCACCGCCCCGCCGTATCTGATGCCCACTGGCAGGCACCTCCCACCAAACCGGCAAGCAGCCAGAAGGCAGAGCGGCGCCAGGGGTGGGCGCTCAAAGTCAGCAAACTTTCCGATATGGTAACAGCTATGATGTTTAGCGCCTTCAAAATGCGCACACCCAGATAAACAGGTTTCAATATTTGGAGCAAAACATTGGGTTTCCAGTGCCGTCAGTTCAAGCACTGGAGCACATTTGCCCGCAGGCACGTACACACGCACACGTGCGCGCGCGGACGCACGCACACATACACACACACACATCTTATACAATGAGCATGTCAAAATCAAGCCATGTCACGCCGGCTCGCCTGCCCTCCACTCAGCAATTTGCACACAAGCTGCCGGGTAATAGCGTCCGCGCTCTCCCTGCAACCAGCAGCCAGCGCGCACCTTGTGCATCGACACAGCACAACCAAGCAGGGGCTCTGGCCGGCGCGGGCAACAGCTTTGGGGGCCTGCCGAGCGGTTTCGCCGTCACCATGGCACCCCCACCGCCGCCAGCATGGCCAGCGGCCCAGTGGACTTGGCATACTCCATGTCCTCCTGAGACCGCAGCAGCATGGTGCCGGCAAATCCCAGGGAGCTGCGGGCACAAGCGGTGGCCACGCGTCACAGAAACTCAAAGCGCGCACTCGGCTCGTCAACACGCTCGTGCACCCCAAACTCATTACAAGCATCAGGGAGTTTTGGGTTGCGTGCAGCCTGGTGCCCGCCAGATTGCAGTGCGGCCTCTCTCTCATGCCTGCACCCGGCCAGCTCACTTGATGGCGCAGGGCCCTGCGCTCTCGCGGCTGCGGGGGACCATGGCCATGGCCTCCCGCCAGAGGAGGACGTTGTAGCTCACAGGCGCCGGGAGGCCGGACTGGCAGGCCGCCAGCAGGCGGGAGGAGAGCTGCGCGAGCTGATTGGCCGTCACCCTGCGTTGGAGGGTCCAGGGGAAGAGGTGGATGATGCACGGAGGGGTTGGCGGCGCACAAGTCCTTTGCCATACGCGCTGCTTGGTTTGAGGGGAAGTGAAGCTTATATA